AAACTAACTCTATAGCTGAAACAAACCCGCATCCTTTCTGCTACAAAGACTATTTCTCACCCACCTCATCTTTCCACAAAAAAAGCTCCCAAAAAAGCAATTAAAGATTTAAGATCCGGTCGGAACGAAAGGATGCTAGCCTTGGTCACTGGAAATGGATGACCAACACGTGCTAAGCTTATTAGGAGCCCTGATTTCTCAATGGCCACAGGCAGGGAGCTTGCAGCCAAAAATCAAGACATAAATCCCGGACTCACAGCACACAGCACACAGCCCTGAAGCCGGAATGGCAACAAACTAATAACCAATAAAAAGTCTTAAGCCATCTTAAGCTCATAAATGCTATTTTCAAATATAGAAATAACCAACAGGGAGACGATGCCTGGCGAGGAGAGGTCAAAGGGTTTCGAGTTCGTTCTCTGGTCGTAAAATAATCCAAGTACGTGTGAGCAGTCGCTGGGGAGGAAAGTGCCCCCAGAGGAAACCATTCGAGTTGAAAAGCCCTTTTAATAAGCATTTTGGCCAGACTCGGGGAAAATAAAAACGAAAAGCTGCATTCGAGCGGAGGGGCAACAAGTGGCATGCAATGGGTTAGCGAGGACGGGGAGGTGACGCGGTGTTACAGGGTTAAGGAGAAACCACTTCAGCTGATGTTTGAGTGAATGAAGTCGGAAGATGAGCAGCCCAAGACCAAGAAGAGGCCCAAGCCAATGATTGGCAGTCGTCGGTGTTGGTATGGGGACAAGGGGACAGGGCAAGAGGAGCTGGAGAGAAAGGCTGTAAAATAGAGCAACCATTGGCGGCAAGCGGCGGCAACAGTTGTTGCCTCAGAGCTGCGGTCATGTTGCATGTTGAAGATGACAGCCCGACTGCCAAGGTACGAGGGTTGCCTTACGAGTTTTAAAAGCTGCCAGGCTAGATGACTATGAGCTTCAGGTGTTCCATATCCAGAACTCTTCAAGCCACCCATTTATCAATTCAACTCACGGCTGGCAGACAAGCAGTCAGGGCAGTCAGGCCGGCTGGCAAAACGCTGCAGTGCAGTTGAACTTTTAATTTGATGAATGATATACATTTGTCTCGAGTGCGAGGCAACCCTCTTGTGGCTTCCACTCCTCGGCAGCCGTCCCTGGTGTGCCACAGAGATTGCCGCAAGTCGGCCAGTAATTGTTGTGGATTGCAGCTGGGAGAGGACCCGGCCCGGGTCCGACGAGCAATCGCCTGCAAGTATTTGCACAGACGCACACAACACACACTCTCCCCTACCTCGGTGGATAGCCCGCGGGATCTGGATCTTCGCCCGACCCGGGCTATATAATTTTGCTTAGCTGCAATTATGAGATGTGCCGGGCTGATCTTGAGCCGACTGTGGCGGCCGAGGGGCGCACACATCAGGCACGAAGGAGGAGGTTCCAAAGAAACCTGAACTTTACCGGAAGCTTCGTCTTCTGTGTTGGATCTTTTGTGAATCAAAAGAAGAGTCTCCGCATGCCCAGTATGTAGTGCAACTCGTTGTGTTGGTTTTACAAGTGCCTGGAGTGGTGCTGGAGCGGATGACGCAGAAGAGGAGGCATCTGCGGTGCACCACCCCCTTCGGGGCTTCATGCGTCTGGCAGATGCCAACCTCGACCATCCAACATCCTTAATTATGACAATCATCCCAGCTTGATGCTCATTTCTTGACTTGGTTTTGTTTTTTTTTTCGCGGCTGCTGATCTCCAGTCCAGGTCCCGATCCAGATCCAGATCGGTTGTATCCGCCAGTGCGTGTTTTTCTTTTATTTCTGCTCGTTGGTATGGGGTCACCTCTCGATACAATCATTATGGGAGAGAAGCAGCGGCAAAAACACAAGAAAGCCAGATCGCAGTAAAAGATCTTTGGCACAGTTTTCGAAAAACACATTGGAATGCTCGGAGCCAGGGGTTGATTTACTGCCAGGATGGGAACCAAGTGGGGGAGATCATTCCATATCATTTCAAGGTTGGGAGCGTGAGAGCTTTATTTGTCGAAAATGAGGGTCTGTCTTGGTATGACTTAATTACTGTCTGGAGAGGACATCGTCATGGGTTATGAGGAAAAGAAGAACCTCGGCTGACCTCTGCTTCTCGTAACCCCACCGCAGGGTTTCTGCCAGATCACTTTCGCTCTCGTGCAAGTAGACCCCAATTATAGGGCCCGCTGATTGATTATGTGGCAACAGCAGCGACAGCTGTGCAATTAAAAGCTCAGCTTTCACCCTAAGGCCACTGGCAACCACTAATTACTTTCACTGGACCAGCCGACCAGAGGTCCGTCGTCAAACACAACTTGCAAATAAGGCAAAGTCAGAGACAGAGACAGACCCAGAGTCAGAGGCGTAGTCACAAATCGAGCACGCAGCCGGACTTTAGTTATCATCATCATCATCATCGTAGCAGGGGGCCAAAAGGTTAATATGGCAATTAGCCAACTTTACCAAAAGAAAGCCCAGCTCTGGGACAATTAACAGGGCCACGAACAGGGCTCATAGATACGATAACTTTCAAATGCGATTAAGGTCGATGAGCTGCCAACTGGATCCAAATCGACAGGTTCTAACAAATGATGATTCTCTCGTTTGTTGTTTTGGTTTTTTCTTCTCATTTTCATCCGATGATGGTCTTTTTTTGATTCGACGGAGGATGATGCCGACAGAACGGATGCTGGCAACCACAAGATACTTTAATGCTTTTGAAAGTATCTGCCGCTGCAAACGAACTTCAACAGGTTCACGCCTCAATCGAAATCTCAGACACACATTAAACGTAATTTTCGGCCTTAAAAAAAAGGGGCTCACAGTTGGTAAGACCGGGCCAGATCCTCTCAACTGCCGCCGCTCCACTTGTAAGTGGTACATCAAAAATTTCCAACAGTTTTTCAAGTGTTTATAATGGCCTAGAGGGGCTTTGAGCCGAGGTCTGGTGTTGGGGGGCTTGGAGTGTGATTACCGCAAGTAAACTATCTCTCGCAGCTGGATGTATCTGAGGGAACGCGCTGCCGGTTTTGTTTTCTTTTCTTCCCCAACTTGCTTCCTCACTCGGTTTTTATGAAGATGAATTTCTATTTTATGAGTGATTTAGACGTGGTCGCCGCTCTCTATCCCGGTGCCCCGCTGCTTTGTAGCTCCAATTACCTGAGATACTTTTTGTGCGTCCGCCTGATTGATTCCGCTGAGCCGGGCCAGGTAATCGGCTTTTGCCAAAGGCCTAGGTCTAGGCAACATTGTCGCCATAGCGTCTCAGCTTCAATCACCTCGAAAAGTACAAAACGAATCAAGGGCGGGGCATCCGATCCAATGACAAATCCGTTCAACAAGTGGCACTCGACAACTGGAGACCTTCTGCTTCTGACTACACTAATGCCAGCATACCAGTCTGGCATAAATCAGTGGGCCACATCTCAGCTTAGATCTCTAGTCTATAAATTTAAATTAGCCAGTTTAACTTTTGGCCCAGACTAGCTGGCTTTCAAGCTGCCAGGTGATTTAGCACCTGGAATATGCCAAGAATCAGTTTTTTTTTCGGGCTCTGAGCACTTGCAGGTGTTTCAATGCCGAAACGAGTTTACATTCAACTTGACTTATTTGCCAACTAATTTCTGGTTATTTATGCGACCCCAGCGCGCCGGAATAAAAAGCCAAACAATAGACGTGGGGTCTTGGGTGGGGCTCGCAGGCGTTTGTGGATTTGTTTGCGTTTTGGTAAGCGCGCTTTTGGCTGGATTTTTTCGTGAGTCCATTGTTTGGCCGACAACATGACAATTACACGTTAAGAATTTTTCAGCAAACAAATTGCTCTGTCAGCTCCGGCTGGAAGTAATCAGCATAGCAAATTATGGAATTATTTCCATCTTTAGAGGCATTCGAGCGTCTGAAGGTCGGGCTCATAATTCATGTCGTGAAGTCAAGTGCAAAAATATAAATTGCGTTTGAGATGATCTCAGTTAGTGAATAAGAAAGAATTATATTCTTACTTAATTTTAAGTAGATATATATAATTACATCAAAAAGTTTTAGGACTTTAATCCTGCCTGCCTCCAGCTTTTTAAGTGGAATCTGAAGGACACAAAAAAACTTACCCACCCTGTTTCAATTTTTTTGTATTTTTTTGATGAAAAAGAAACCATTCAATGAGTGGAGATGGCCTGCTCCACGAGGCCTGTTTGTTATTTACCGACAACTTTATGGCCACATGCCGACAGAACAACAACAACACCAAATTGTCATCATAAACAATGCGAGGGGGAAAAAAATCAACGAATTTGTTGCTTAAAATTCTGCCTCTCGTAATTTTTTCCTTTGCGGTTTACCAGGCGGCCAACTTGCTGTTGTTATTGTTGACGCGCATGTGTGAAAAATAAGCAAGTTTTTCCAACCCATCCCGCTTTGCCATAATGTGGGGGGTGTGGTCGGCGACGAATTTTTCTCCGTAGGTTTATTTCCCCACTATAGAGAGAGCTATACGTGGCTGGAAAAAAAATAGCGCCGCCACGGCGTCTATTTAATGAAGTGCCAGCCAGCCCAGAAGATTTTCGGGGACATTTTTTGTTGAGGGCCGAGGCTAGTGTGAATTTTCACATCCCCGACAAGTTCCCGGTCGTGCTGGCCAAGCACAAAGCGGTTGCATTGAGCCGGGCTCAGCCCAGTTAAGCTCGGTTGGGAGCCCAGTTGAGTTATCTTGTGTGCCGAAGGTTGACAGGTGGGCGGGGCTGGGTTTGATTTAAGTGCAGATTGAATGGGGTTAGCTTGCGGTCAAGGCAAATACATGGTTAGTGATTTTTAAACGACAGTTTCTGACTAGCAAGATGACAATAAACCCCCACCAGATAGATCACAAATAGAGGCTAAGATTTCCTATTGTTGGAGACTCTTTCCCTTCACAAACATATGTGAAAGATCATTCCGGCTTAACCTAAGCTGCCAATTGTAAAGCTCTTTAATCCGATATACATGGCCTGGAAAGAAGAGCCATTCAAGCACTTACCAGCCAGCAGCACACACATGTGTGTCCAATCACTCTCTGGCCCACTGGATGTCGTCCCGGTATAATCTGTAATGAAGAGCAAACATATAAATTTAATAAGCTGTCACATAAATTTTCCACTCTCTCATGAGCACTTAAAGCTACTATATGTATATACTAGGCGCAGCCGAAAACTCATTCAAGCCGAACACTAAATTAGTGAGAGTGATACCCTCCGAGAAAAAAATGGAAAAAAATAGAACCTAAAAATAGGGGAAACCTAGAAATATCCGATACAAATTAAATCCACTTAGAAAACCGTTGCCATTGCCAAAATGGATATGTTTTGGCATCTGTTTCGATTTAAAGGATTGAGTGGAAATTGAATACTTTCCCAAGAACGCTGACTAAGTGAAAATTAATAGGCACACACTCTCCAACACCAGAGTGGGAGAGGAAGTGTTAAACTTTCACTGGAACACTCCGTAACAAGAAACTTGAAATGACTTTTTGAACTATGAACCATGAACATGGAGTTATCATCGAAGTGGAGTGGAGTGCGTGGATTTGAGGTTCGGCTAGACGCATCATAAATATTTGAAAAGTGTCTCTGTAACTGACACGATGATGGTTCCACGGCCGAGGGCCTGCCAGCATGCCACATGTTGGCAGCAGCAACATTTTGACATACTTAAGTGTCCGACAGCCCCCATCATCATCGTCGTCGGCGGTCGATCGGTCGGCGGAGTGATCGCGGCCTGAACAGATCCCCCTGCCTGTGCCTGTGCCGCTCCAGCGCGAAGATGTGCGACAATAAATTTGGAAATTATGAACATAATTCTTCATTAGCAGCGCCTCCGGGCCGGTCCATTGATAAATTGGAAAACTCGATAGAGCAGAGGCGGCTGCTGAGCACTTCTTCCTCCCTTCCTTAACCGAAAGCTACAGCATCGGAATCCGCATCCCAAACCGAAAATGAAAGTGAAATGTGGACTGTGGACTGCCCACATTTGGGGACTTGCCTGGGACTGGAATCGGGTGATAAATTGGCGATATTACGGCAGCAGATTATTCAAATTTTTTCGTGTGGGCGTTAACCCACAAAACCAAAAAAAAAAGCGTTTGGAGAATGCCAAACCAGGCCAGAGCCAGAGATAGACCCCATTTCTGATAGTGCCCCGCCACTGTTGGCATTCAAATTGAAATAACGTGATTTTTGTGGTGCACTGGCCATTGGCCATTGGCCGATAAAGCATCGTGGAGGTAGGTGGCAGTAACACTGGCACTGGCCAAAGAAAGGGAACCATCGGGTTGACATAGATTTTCCCCTCGCCGGCTATTGTTTTGCGGTTTTGCGCAGATTTCTGGGCTTGACTCTGAATCGAAATGCAAACGCAATTTTTATTCGATTTTTATGTTTCTCTATTATTCTGTGGGTGTGGGCGCGACTTTCTGGCAGTTTAGTTTTGTGCGTTTCAATAAAGGCTTTTGATATTTGACCAAAGACTATTTTTCAAATTTTGTAATGCCCATGGGAAAGGGAAAAATTCAGTAACTTATTAAAAAAAAAAAATTTTACAAATATAAAATAATTTATATATCTCCCCGACGGGGAATTGAACCCCGGTCTCCCGCGTGACAGGCGGGGATACTAACCACTATACTATCGAGGATGTTGATGTTATGCCAGCCCAAAAGTGTTCATAGGCCTTATCACACTTGCTAACAAAAGTATATAAATAGAAAGCCAGGCGGATCCGATTATTACCACAACTCTAAAGAATTCAATCAACACATTATTTTGTAATTGCTGGTCTGGATTTTTCACATGTTTTCTGTAAACCGACCATCGCAATAAATTGCGTTTCCCGCATAGCTGGCTATCGCCATTGTTCCACTTTATTTTTTTGTGGCCCCGGAGAGCAGTGGGTCTGTCCCCTAGCGGTTTCGAAATCATTCCCACCTCCCAACAGCCGTCGGAAAACCCGCTCGTTCACTCCAATTCACTTTGGGCCGCTCCGCACGCGAGTTGCAGCGACCATTTGGCTTTCACAGCCCAGTTCACTTGCCGCAAAAACCGCAAGGTGCGTTGCAATAGTTGCTCAAAAGCCTTCAAAGTGAAAAATTCCATTTCACAGAAAGACACAACTGCCTAATAATACTTTATTTCGTAAGATGGGCTCATGGCAAGGAAAAGGGGAAAATACCATAAAGGAGAAAACCCCATTCCAGGGATCCCATCACGAAAAATCAACAAAAACCCTGAAAAATATTTTGTCTCAGGATTTTGATGCAGAATGGTGGAGAATCGATCCAGAAATCGTTTAAGGTACTCCGCTTGAGAATCGGATGAGAATTGCGGAAGATACAGCCATCCCACTGGGCCCTATAGGGGAAAACCTCATTTTCAAGCGAAATCCCATTTTCAAGGGATCCTATCACGAAAAATGGTCAAAAAATCTGAAAAATATTTTGTCTCAGGATTTTGATGCAGAATGGTGGAGAATCGATCTAGAAATCGTTTAAAGCACTCCGCTTGAGAATCGGATGAGAATTGGGGAAGATATAGCCATCGCTGTGGGCCCTATAGAGGACTATGGCCGTGTATAGCTCCTAAAGCTGCCATATAACTGAACTATCGGAAATGACCCTACTTCCTACTAGAACTACTTCATTTCCTTTCTTGTTTTTCACTAAAAACTTTGCTAAAATTATCAGAAAATTGTATTTTAAAATTTTAAGGGAACTTTTTTTGGAAAAATCAATTGCAAAACATTGCCTCTTATTTTGGGCCTTAACTGGAGATCCAATGGGCGGAAGACGCTGTGTGATCTGCGGCGAGGAGCCACCCGAGAAGGACCACAAGGGAAACGAGGCCTACGCCTTCCCCAAGGACGAGGACGAGGCCCGCATCTGGCAGGCGAGCATGGGGGCCAAGGGCTGCTGCGTGGAGAGCATCCAGCAGCAGTGCTGCGTCTGTGTCCAGCACATTCCCGAGTTCGTGAAGCGAGCCAAGAGGGTGGGCCGAAGGATTCGAAACCTGGAGCGCAACAAGGAGAAGAGGCGGGAGGAGCTGATGGCCCTAGCCGGAGCCGGCTGTAAGTGTCCAGACGGGGACACGCCGGGTCCGGATCGGCCAACAGTCAACGTTCTACTCCTCAACGGAGCCTCCCTGCCCACCTACTGCGGCAAGGGCCAGACGGCCGAAAATGTCTGCCAAGCTCCAGATGCTGACGGCGATTCTGGCATGAAACTCAAGCGGGTCAACGCCCAGGACTCGGACACGGAGATCTTTGTCCAGGAGTCGGGCTTTCTCGACACCGGCGGCAGCTTTCCCGACATCGACGGCACCGAAATGACCGTAATGCGAGCTCCAACCCAAGACGACGAGGAGCTGGAAATATTTCACAAGGACTGCCTGGCAGAGGAGGAGAAGCATGGCAAAGGCCTGAGGTAAGTAAGCCGGCCGGTTCTTAGACATTCATGACTTGCTTTTCGTTGAAGAGCCCGCCGGAACATATGCATGCCGGGCTGCACGGATGTCCTGCTGCTGGCCCGCGGGCGTCACGCCACCGACGAGTGCCCCTGCAAGTGCGAGCAGTGCTCGAAGCCCTCCAACCTGCCGGACGACGGCGAGTGCTGCGACCCGCCCTGCTGCCCGGACACTCAGCCGGAGTACTACACCCAGCCGCCCTGCGGCTGCGAGTGCGAGCAGCAGGTGCGGCGCGAACTGGGCCGGGTCATTAAGACCCAGACCCAGCGGATCAGGGAGCTGGAGTCCCGGCTCTGTCGGCAGAACAACATGCGCAGCTGTCTCCAGCGGAAGCTCGACGAGCTGTACTGCGAGTTTGGCAAGTTGGACGAGGACCATGGCGAGGGCAGTCACGCCCGACTCCAATGCCCGGCCCCCGACTGCGCGGCAGTGGTGGTGTCTCAGCAGGCGCCTCCCACATCGCACGCGCCCCTGAAGGAGTCCCCCCAACTACCGAAGGTACCTCGGTTCCGACGCTCCGTCCACAAAATGACTCCCGCTCCACCGCCACCGGAGGAGAGGGACTCGTCGGACGATGACTTGTTTGTCAATGAGTCCTTCGAGAGGGTTCACTGGGTGGCCATGCGTAATACGGAAACGGATGATGGTCGCAGGACCCGTAGACCGGAGTGGACCACTACCAAGGAGCCGGGTACTCTCACTCCCATGAGTCGCAGCCAAATGTCGATCCGCTTCGGGAATAATATCGTGCCCGAAAGTAAGACGTCCCTTCAGCTATCTAACAAGTCGAGGTCGCTGGGATCGCGTCCTTGATGTCCTCCCACACCACACTCGCCCTCCAACATCGCCTCCGCGTCTGCCACTCTCCGTTCTGTGTGCCCAAAAGCAATCATGCAAAAATTTAAATATATTCTTTTTCCGGTTCTGTGCAAATGTTTTTAACCCAAATATTTTGTAGACATGCAACATGCAGCATTTACAAAGACAGACGGCCAGCCAAAAGGCATAAGACACTGGGAAAAAGAGATAAAAAATAGAGATAATGTTCTAAGAAAAGGATATACAATATAAGTTACTATGAGAGATATTTCAAGAGATTTTATAGCTTATAGTTATTTTAATTTTAAAACTTAAGCTAGTATTTGTTCAAGTGTATCAGCCAGAGGCCGTAGTGGAATGAAAAAGGTGATTCCCCCCTTGGGCTCAATTCGAACCACTCGAATACCCCTCGACACCGACAGCTGTGTGCAAATTGTTGCCATTTTATGATATTTAAGTGCAAACGAATGCAGCTGTCTGCCACCTCCTGACTATGCCCTTACCTCCCACCTAAAATGCATCCCTAAAATGCACTACACCCGCCCGGCAATTTTCGCTTACTATTCTAAATGTTCATAAACACATTAAAATGATAATTAAAAGAAAATTTCGTTCTCTTTTCATTTTTCGCACATCAGCAGCAAAGTTAATGCTGCAATGTTGCATCTGCATTATTTATTTATTATGTATGCAAATGCATTTAATTGCATGGCGGAGGGCGTACTGTGAGCTGGGAACTGGTAGCTGGGAGGACCATGAGGACTGGGAGGACACTGCCATGGCAGCTGCAGGCGTGCCACCGTCAAACAATTTGCATATTTTAGCATGTAATGAAATTTGTAATAATTCTGCAATTAATTGCGTATGTGTCCTTGTTTTATAGCCCACGTAGCGCAGTTTCATGGGAGCGCGGAGTTTGGAGTCCAGTTTCGGTCTCGGTTTCGGTTTCAGCCCCGAGGGCTCCATGGTCGGTGCATGTCCGTGTTTATATATAAACTGGATGGTATATATATAGCGATATATAGCGAGGTTTGCTTTATTTAAACCAGAGACTGGTTGGCTTTAAAGTAGCGCCTTTAAAAATTTAAGCAAATCAGCTTTGGGTTCACCACTTGCCCGTGAAGTGTCCTCTTGAAATTGCCACTTTTTAGGACCCCAGACGACTTTGACCTCCACTCGAAACAAAACAATCAACTGCACTCCAGTTCGGCCGGCCCGCCGTCGACCCTCTATTCCTTTTTATTGGCGGCTGCCTCACAATTTCCATGTTTACAAGTAAATTTTCAACATGAATATTTATTTATTTTGCCATTGCAATGCGCCAAATGGAGTTGTGTTCACGTTCTCGTTGTCGATGACGGTCCTGTTGTTGTTTGTGTAGTTGCAGTGGATTGTTGTTGTTTTGTTGCCAATGTTGATGTTGATGGGCTGCCCGACGTGTACACCTTTGGCTAGGTGTTCGACATGGTCTTGTTGTTATAATCCCTTCCCCTTCGATTTCCACCCACCACCACCATCATGGCAGCTCAACCCCTAGGTGGATTTTCAATAACAAGCTGCTTTTGCTTTCGCTTCTGCTTTTGCTGTTGTTGTTGTTGTTGTTGTTGGTCATTTTGTTGTTTGTTTTTAATTGTTTTGCATGTTTTCATTTCATTTGCAATCCCTAAGAGAAGGACGAAAGGACGAAGGACGAAATGGCAGCCGAGAGCGGAGGTGGTTGAGTGATGACGGTATCGACACCGTCATTATGGCCAGAAGAACAACATGCATTTATGCTGATTTTTATTCCGATTCGGCTTATAAAATTGTATTTAAATTCCGAAGATGTCAGATACAGATACTTCAATTGAACGGCGCGTATCTGGCAGATAAATGCTTTGCTTTTCATTTCGTTTTGATGTTTTTCAATTACGTTAAGGGTCCTTCCTCCCTATACCCCCCCTATTGGGGCCAAACAGGCATCATTTGCTGTCCCGATTTTGTTTTTATTCAAAGCTGTTTTTTTTCTCCCCGACCGTGTTTATTCTGCAATTGTGTGTTGGACTGTCTGAAGGACAGACAGACAGACAATAGATTTCAAGGATGGTTTCATTTCAGCTGCGTCCATTTGTGTTTCATTTTCGAGCTCCTTTTATGGCTTGCAATAATCATTTGGCGCGGAAAGGAAACGGAAGTACAAAGCGAGCAAGCCGGAAACAAAAGGAAAAGTGCCAAAAGAAAAGTCTCATAAAATTAGTAGCAATGGCTTTAAAATGCCATGTTTTTTAGGTCCTGTTCCAGTTTTCATTCCTCAGTATACTTTTATCCTTCCGTCCCCCACTTTATTGTTCTTTGAAAATGATTTTTTCATTAGTTTCGCGCCGTTTGAGGTTGCTAATTAAGACAGAGCGAATATTGGAAAGATATTTCCATAAAAATATATATAGAAACTAATTCGCATTCGTATATAGCAGACAGGCTGTCGTGATGATGATAAATGAGCAGTGCGTTAGCTGAATCGAAATGCGTGCTAAATGCTTTAATTGCGGCCTTTCATTGGAGCTCCGGCGAAGGGGGCCGCCGCCAATTGTGCGAAACATTTGAAACGCCTCGAATGAGCGGCAATTTCTTTAATTTTTAAGGTCAAATATATTGATTGTAAAGGCGAATTCTCACCATAAAGGCACTCGAATAAAATTGCCCATAATTTTTGAACATTTTCCATTGAGGGATCTACATATATGTTTCTATTTTCTTTGAATTTATCTGCCATTGCAAAATTTCGCAACAAATATGTACGAGAGTGTGTGGACCAAAATAAACCCTTGAATGGTAAATAGCTGGGCATCCTCAAGGACCTGCACTCAGAACAATAAGGACAAGGCCAGGCGAACGGAACTCAAGAGCAAACGGAATAATAGTCAATAAAATATTTGCACGAACCAGAAATCGTTCAAGCGCATCTCGCAACTTTTATTTCAATACAGATAGAAAGGATATACCCTCCTGGTGGATAGTGAGTGGGTGGGTCGGAAAAGAAGTGGCCCAGGACCCAGGCATTGAAATAACATTGGGAAGCGAGTACAAAAAGTGTGCTTGAAGTGCTGCAGCCGCCAAAAGAAAGATGACAGGCAAGAAAAATGTAACAAAAATAAAGAAACAAACCCATGGGTTCCACAGGTCCTGCCGCTGTCCTTCCACTGTCCTGTGGGCGGGCAGTGGGGGAAAAAGGGAAAACAATTTCCAATGTTTTTGCTTCTAGTTGAAGACGCCTTATTCAATGCCAATGGCGGGCGGATGGCCCGAATGGATGGCCCAATGGGAGGATGGGTAGAAAAACTCTTTGAGGCAAGTTACTTCAGACTTTCAGTCACAAAAATTTTTACCCATGACTGGACAACAGTGGCGGCAAAAAGTGTTCGACCTTTTGCAACAAAAGGGGCATCGCGCCGAGGACAAAACAAAGCAGGAAATGGCTGCCAGGATATTGACAATGGCGGAGGCGTGGCCCGTGGGTGTGGTCATGGTCACTGTGCATCGAGCGTGAAATGCGTCCTTCTTGGCTCGGATGCGAGTGGAAAAAAAAAGTGAATCCTTTTTCAACCATTTAAAGCGCATATTTGCCGAAGAAAGATCCTCCTCCTGCCAGGGCCCTTAAACCCCGAGCTACTTAAGGACATTTTAGTTAAATTTTATGTCGATTTCCGCTGGTCCCAGATTTCAGTTTGCCAATCTATTGAAATTGCGGTCGAGCACCGAGGGAAAAAGGTCAAACACATTAAATTTATAATGCGATTGAGAGTAAGGCAGTAAGAAGAGGTCCTGCCAGCCAGCCAGCAGCCTCGAAGACTACGATGGTGGGGGTGGTCGGGTCGGGGGTGCGAGGGCCTTAAGTAGGTCAGTTTCGTCTGTCATAAAATGCAATTGGAGCGCATTAAAGTGCCGCGATGCTCGCTACTCGCAAGTGAAATGTCAAGTTGTAAATAAGCGGGACAGGACAGCTCGAAAGTCCTGCGATGGGCGTTGTCGTCAAGTGTCGGAATGACCCAAAAGGTTTGGCGTTTGATGGCCAAGATGATGTCACTTGGGATCCCACCGAAAGCTATTTCCCCGTTTTATAGTCTCGAATTGTTTTAAATTTTTACAAATAACTAACAAATAAGCTCGTTTTGGCTAAAAGCATTCGACCAAGTCTAGACGTCTGTTTCAAACGGCGAGGGTCTCGCCACTTGAATTACGATTACGGCCAGGATCTACCCAGCCGCGTCCTCGTCCTCATGGTAATTGATATTCATATGCAGCCCGGATGCCGTTTGCTTGCATCTCATTAGTGGCAGACGCGGAATCCAGCATTTATCTCTATATGTACCTGACTCTTATAAATAAGCACATAATCAGGCGACAAACGCTGGCTCGCTGGCTCTGTGGCAGTGCCATACGCATAAATAAATAAATAATCTGCAACAATTACCATAATTTGAGCTGACATCTCCACTAGGCGAGCGGCTAGAGACCTTGTGCCAAAGTGTTATGACTAACTTGGCTCTGGCACTCTCCCACCGAGCCGGGCCATAACTGCTTCTGCCGAGGATGCTGCTGCTGGTGATGCTGCTGATGATGATGATGTCAGTCGTAGTCAATAAACATAAATATCGGCGGAAAGATGTTCGGGGAGCTACCATGCCTGGCCGCATCGTTAAGTGTTTGGCTTTATGGCCAAAACGGGCGAAACACTTGGCGACCCGGCTCGGACTTTAATTAGCCTGACAATTAAATAATATTTTCGCCAGCTCACAGCTCAGAGCTTACAGCCGGCCTGATCCCCACACTCTCTCTGTTTAACTGTGAAGCCGCCGACTTGTTAACTCGCTGCCTGACAGTCTGCCAACAAGTTTTAATTACAAGCCAAACGACAAAAAAAAAATGGGGAAAAGACGAGTAGGAAATATGCAAATAAATTGGGGATTAAACTAAGAGATACCCTCTTTAGCTGAAGGAGCAAGATTCTCTTAAAGTTAAGCTTCAAAAATTAGAAAAAATTCCAAACCCAACCTACTATGTAAAACCTATATCAACCCCGAACCTAGTATCCCCTTTGCTACCCCTTTGTTTATCGGTCTTGGAATAAAAAGTGTCTCCCGGCCAGTTAGGTTTTGATAGTTGTTGGCTTGTTTTAATGACTCCTCCTGGAATGCAACAGCAGCCTCAGCAGCATCCCTACTCTTTTTTATGGGCCTGTATGCAAATCTTTTTTCAACACATTTTGTGATCTGTGATTGTTATCCGACTCTGGTAGTCTGGTAGTCGGTTTCACAAAGCTTTTGTTTAGTTTTTACGCTCCTCCCTGCTGCTGTATCTATTTTTTATTTTTCAGGGTTTCAGTTCTGCTTCCTCGACCGTCCATCTTCATTGCTGATGACATATTTTTGATTTGTTGCTAATTTGAATTTAAAACTGAATCGAAATGACAAACGGCAGCCCTTTATTTATGACAGGTCTGAACAAATTTTCTGGTTTCGCTTTGATTTTATTCTAGTTTTCGGGGTGTTGATTGGCCGCCTGACATAGTGGCTCTGATTCGATTTTGATGAAGGTCGTTTTTATTAGAGCCCATAGAGCGCTGCGACCTTGCCTTCTTTGATTTGAACAGATATTCTAGCGCCGAGAAATATTTGAATAAGGAAAAGGTTCAAATTATGTAACAAGCTATGGCTATCAGCCATGAGCTAATTTTATGGGCCATAAATATTTTTATACCTTTGGCAAATAGGGCAGATCCAACGTCAGCATTCCGTCAAGCTTTTAAAATATTCCAACCACCTCCGATGGCCCCGCCAATTAGCTGACCAAACCTGAGCCCAATTCGGAGTTTGTTTTTATCGAATATCTGGAGTGGAAAACACCTCAAACACTCGATGCAATTTAAGCAAATATATGCAGACACTGCCTCAAAAAAGAGCGCACACGCCCCTGGTACTGGGGGCAGGGTCGGTAAGCGATAGCCCAGACAGATACTTTATGCCGTACGTGCCAAACAAAACTCGAACGGGCCATGCCAGCCAGCCAACCACTGACCCATCCAGTTATTGAAATGCAAACCCAAAAAAAAAACCAAGGAAAGGAAAATTGCAGTAGCGCCGAGCCAAGACAATTTTCCCCATCACGCAAGCCGGGGGGAGGCGCGGTGGCAAGGTGGTGGGGCAGGAAAAAATGCATACAGGATGGCATGCACCAATGTGTGCGCATGACTTGGGAGACCCGCGATCAGGGGACTGGGTTTCGGGACCCGCAGCTGGACCAGGATTGGATTTCTAATGTGCATTCGGTGTCTGCCGTCAATCCATTAAAAATTGTACCACCGACAACCACAACAACACATGTGGCACGTACGGTTCTAGTTCTTCTTCTAGTGGCTGCTTCTGCCGGACTTCTGGCCGGCTAGCTTCTTGGCGGATAACGTTTGTATTTAAAAGACACTTTACGGATTGCTTTACGGAGCCGGACCGGTCTCTATTGCTGTGCAACCATTTGTAGTTTATCGGAGGAAAATCTTGAAGTACCGCCCGGTACAGACCGCATGTCAAAATGTCAATTTTTGTTTCGGTTTTTTTTTTTTGCCTCAGCCAGTGTGGCACGTCCCCAGGTTGTGGCATGCAAAATGGCCACATGTTGCGTAAACTAGTTTCGTGAGTCGTTAGATATATCACCTGAGTCGCAGTCTTCTCTTCCCCGTCACCTCTCCAAGTGCAGTTCACTTGCAGAATTTGTTTATTCGGAAAGATCTCAGGCATCGGGGCCTGTCATGTGAACCGTTTCCAAATATGTGTATGTTCCTATGATAGGTGGCTTGCAGACAGCCATGGAATGAATTATCCTCGGCAAACGTGTCGAACAACAGCTCTGGACAGATGCCCAGATGCCATTAGATGCCTGGGAATCGAACAACTTACCCGGTCTCTATGTGGCAGGTTGTGTCTCCTCCTCGATGTGGCAAGATTTTCGTTAACCTGCAAGGCAAAAAGGTGATTATTAGATTGTTATAACTAGAGAAACCATCCAACTATTGTCTAGAATTACTGCTTATTATTTCAGCTGTTTTTGGAGAGTAAGCTTATTGTTTAATAATTCTGGGAATACCACCCAACAGGTCTCTTTACTATCAAATGCCGTGTGCTTTTTTGGGCCATTAATGCCAAGTTTATTTCTTCTTTGCTTTTTGCAGGCATAATTAAGCGCACTTTTAAATATTTCAACCTATGCAGAGTGTGTGTGGGCCACTGGATCGTAAAAAGAACTGGAGTACCGCCAGAGTCGTAAAGCCAGTCAGGGGACCACCCAAGATGGGCTTTTTGGGAAACTTTACCATTTGTTTGCCGATGCGTGTGCCAAAAAAACAAACAAAAATTGACGAGTCGAGGGCTGGGAAAAAGGTCAACAATTTTATAGCCATTTCCGGCTTAGGTTTCTAGGTGTTAAATAATAAATACGGCAAGGAATCGGCTCTCTCCCAGTCAATAAAAACGGGCGCCTCGAGGCCCAAGACCTGCGTGCTTTGACTTATCGTGTTTACAGTTCACTTGGTATCCCGGCCCATATCCCGACCCACTGCATGACGACATTTTAATAGCTAAGCACAATCCGAAGAGGAAAAAATAACACCCAAAAGCAATAAGAATATTTTCCGTCCTTTTTACGACTCCCCATAAAACATTGAAACAATGACGAAAGCCCAACACTTTTCCCCGTACAGGTTTTCCTTTTTAAATGGGCCAGGGCTCGCAGGACCATAAACAAATTCTCGCATTAATTGCTTAATTTTTCAAGCCATTTTATCGGAATACCAGAGCAGACTGGCAGCTTTAAGGATCTCCCATATTAGCCAACTACAAAGGCAATTAAAGGCCAACCGACAAGAAAAACCTTTTTTCTCCAGACTCCAGACTGGAGACTCGAGTAATTTAATTAGTTCAGGTTGTGGGCGAGAGTCCTTGTCGGGGGAGGTCCTTGGTTAGTTAGACGCGCCAAATGAAATCAGACTTGGAACGAGACAATGTTTAATAATGCCATGCCACGCACAGCAAACTAAGAGAGAAGGTGTCGGAAATAGCTATAGTCCTTAGAAGTATCCTTAGCCAGGCATATTATTTAAATAAATTCCAGAAGGCTCTGTAGTCTCGTGATGGAACTGTCTTCATGGCGCCTACCTTCTCCCCTAAAGACCCATGTACACCCCATAAGGAAGTGGCAAAAGTTTGTTATTTTCGTACATGTCATTGACTCACACACACGGCCCAGAGCGGCAACATGAATTTTGTGGCAATTCTAGGGCGTCGTCATCGCCCCGACGTTGTCGTCTCGTTCTGTAGGTGACTTTGACTGTGCGGCATATAAATAAATATTATATTACCCTCAGAGTGCGAGGAGGAAACCTTAGACCCGCGACGCAAATATGAGAGCGACTTTCCGACCCCGCTGCCTCTGTGTCTCCCCCCTTTGTTTGTCGCTGAGTTGTTAATTAAATATTTACTCTGCTTATTTGCAAAATGAATAATTTTAGCATTTTATTTCATATGGCGCAATGTGTGTCTACCTTTTCTTGTCGAGTTTTCCTCCAAAGGAGCTTTAGCTTTAATATTTTCATTACTTTAATATAGAAACCCCTTTTTAAAACTGGCTAACTGGCTTAGTGACTAACTTGATCCACCAATTACATCATTCGAATTCTCTCACAGCCTTCTAGATCGCATTTGCATTCGACTTTCAGTGTTTTTTTCTCACATACTTATTTATTTGCTTTTCTGGCTTATGGCTTTTTGTTACGCTTAGCATTTACGTGCTGATTGCCACACAAAAGCGAAACTTGTTTTGCAAAACAACCCCCCCTAACTACCTGTAGTCTGGGTCTTGGCCCAGCTAAGCCCGTCAAGGTGAGCCAAAACGAACTTTAAATATTTCACCGAAATGGGTGCTTGCCCCAGAGAACGCTGCATAATTGATTAATAATTTTGTGTTGTTTTGGTTGGGCAGGTGGCGCCCTCAACGTACCACGCCCCTTTGGAGACCAGTGTCCACCAGCAATCGTTAAATATTCAAATGAACTGCAGGCCAACCGACCGACCGCCTTAACCCATTAATTAGCTCGACATGGGCACACATTAGATAAATGTTGGGGAACCTTGATTAAAGGCAAACAGTTGGAAGAGCTGTTTGGAAAAAATTTCACCATTTCACTATTGCTTGGGAGATAAATACTGTGGCTTAAAAGGGGTGGTCCTCCACTTACAAACTTATTATTATTGATTTTACTTGCATTCGGGTTTTTGCTGATTTGTTGTTCATTCTGTTTGTTTGTTTGTTTGGCTTGGCTTGGCTTGTTTGCTTCTTGTTTGTTGATTTTCTGTTTGCTCGACTCGAAAATTATTTGGGTTAAACAAACAGGGCCAACAACAGCGTCATGCAATCACTGCAATAGACATCCGAAATACGAAATAGTATTGAAGAATATGCTTCCTGGTGGCAAAAAAAAAACCTCCTAAGGGGCCTGCCTTTAAACACCTGACTAATCCCCAACTATAACCGCAAAAACTTTAACCCCCAAACAAGTTGAACTAGCTTATGAGTAAACAACGAACATGTCAGCAAAACTTAACAGAAATTAACTGGGTAAACACTAAAAGAACCAGAAAATATTTGCTTAATTAACTGGCAGGAAAGTTTCAGGACAAAGGACTGGAGATGCGGGCTGGATGGCGTGGGAACCCTTTATTAAAAGGATAAATTCTGCCTGAAACAGAGACTTACCCGGCAACATGGCGTATACGCAATTAACATTTATGGCAATTAATTATGTGATTATGCATACACGCCGTGTGGCACAGCAAGTCGGGCATGTCTATACTGTGTCGCCCCCCTAATGAAGGCATCAAGAAAACCAAAGGCGACAGAAACTTTGCACCCCAGTCTGGTATATAATTATGGGTAATCAAACAATTTTATTTGATGCTCTAACTAATGATCTTTTTGTCTAACGCTTAGCTTGGAATGGTAGACATGGTAGGCATGGGCAAGGTCGAGAACCTAAACGAGCCATTCAGCAAAGACTTCAGAGACTTTAATTATCGTTGTATCGCCATCGACTCTGATTAACCGAGCTGGTCGAAAATACTGCCCCCGAGGCAGCTCAATCTCGTTAATTGATATGCAAAATCAAATGGCCACTAAGTGGTGCTAACCAAGAAGTGTCGAGGACCAGGTGATTCAGATTCTCTAGAAATCCAGGCCAGAGTTCAACGCACTAAGCCATACTCTAAAAGCTTTTACAAAAAAAAGAAATGATTTAAACTATATTCTATTTTAATTAATGTAGTTGCACATTTGTTCATAAATTATTTTCCATTATTTGTATAATGGCCTGACAGTTCGTTACCGACAGCAGTAAACTAAAAATGATTTTCATTATCACATAAATTCTCGCATGTCCGATGGAAACTCAGAGCACCCCCTGACACTGCCCCCGACATGCCCCATTTCAAGCAATTTGTTTTGACACATTTTTGCTCAACTAGCCAGAATCGTTCAAAACACTCCCAGACAATGAAAAGCCGAGGGACCGAGAGAGATACTTACAGATACAGATGGAAAGCTAAATCATTTTGTTGAGACAATTTTTACAGATTGCGGTTGGGCGGTTGGGACTTCCACCTCCTATACCCTATGCCCAATGCCTATTCCTATGATGCCTGGCTTCTAACGTGCTGATAAAGCAAGTTTTGAGACTCCCAGCCCCAAGTATCAATAAACCCATAAATTTAAAAGGGCACCACACCAAATAAATGTAAATACATCCACAATTTGTTGTTGTCAGCCCGTTTTCATATTTATTTCCCAGTGACGTCTGCTCTTATTTATGTCTCGACTTTTTTGTGGGCGTCCATCTAGCTATCCATCTATTGGTCTAACTTTAATATTTTGCATATCTGTCCACTGGCCCCACCCCATCTTAATTTTATGGATCATGTTCTGCTTGTCGTCATGCTAGTTTTTTTTGAGCTATTAAATGGCAACACAATATATTAATGGACTTATACTGTCGGTCGGTCAGATCTGGTTGTGCTTGAGTATATATATGTTTACGTTGGCACAGATGTTTTTGATTTCTGTTGGCGGGAGTGGGGGGGGTCTGGCCATGAAAATTTCAAAACATTGAAAATAGACTGAAAGTTTAGTAAATGCGAAATTAGCTAAACGATTAGCTGTTGAGCTATGAGTTCATCAATCTCTAGAATGAATAATTTCTAGGCCTTTATTGTTAGTCACTTTTAGTATTCCCACCTGGCCGACTTGAAGAACTGTCAATCAGTTTCTCCAACAATGAATTCTTTCTTCAGTGGCTTATCCTATCTATAAATTATTTCCACATTACCCACTCCCCTGAAACCTACTAGCCAGTACCTTTGTTCGCAGGGCATTCACAAATATTGACCAACATTCTGGGCCTATAAATAAGTAAGCAGTCCATTAGTTCCACTTCCAGCTTGCACAACGGCCTGTGAATGCAGCCAGCCAAAATCAGGGAGAAAACGAGAAATCGAAGCCTAGTCAGTCACACCCTATCGGAGCGACCAGATCCAGGGCCCGTGAGTGGCTTTATCTTATCGCCCCTTGAGTTGGCGCCTTATCGCCAAAGGTAAACAAATGATAAGCGTAGAAACTCTGGCGACTCAGCTCGTTTGCCAAATGACGCATACAACCCATTTGGGGCTGTGGAAATGAAAACGGAAAATGAAATTCTGTTTTTATGGTTCATCAACCCAAAATAAACCCAATAGTATAAACACAAAAGCATAGAGAATGTGTCAAAATTAGGTCAGAATGAACCGAAGCTAGTTGTGATTTTAGGCAAATTAAAAGAAAATAAAAGAGAATATTTTATTAACTCTATATATTATATTCCTGTATATATATGTATATACTCTCATTGCAAGTGTCAATGGCACGTTCGAAAAGCTGTTGTTGCCACCCCCAAGCTCCCAAACTCCCAGACCCTATACCCAGAGTTGAAGGGCCCTGAGCATATGGCTCCCAAGAGCTGCCAGTCCCAATTTTTAATTGCGACTACGTGAGCGAAATTTTAAAACTAAAATCGAAACAGAACATCCGTTCGGAGAGTCAGTCCATTATGCTAATTAAATTTATGATTGAGCTGATAGTTATGGGTAGGCAGATAATGCCCATATAATGCTGCCGGTTCTCTCCCAGCTGGGTTCAGGTTCATTTTCAGTTTGTTGTTGTTGATTTAATTGCGAAATATAGAGATATTTATTTTTAATGGACCTGAGCCAGCAGCCACGAGGTCTGGTCTGGTTGTTAAAATAGAAATTACTTTGACTTTGGCTATGATTGCTTCCCAAAAAAAAAACATAATTGTTGAACAAATATTTTGATTTTCAAGCCTAATGGTGGTCATTGCTTTAAAGTAGACGTGTAATTTGGGGTGATTTTTTTAAGGGTTATTATGGCAAATGTCAAGGCAGATAGAGTATGAATTGCTGATGGGATTTTCAGATAAGAGGGTGAGGCTTATGGTGGCTAGAACATTACCTCATATCTTACAAAAAATACTACCCAACATTGGCGCAATCCTTGCACAACTTTTCTCATAAAATTAGCAGGAGATTTCGTCTATCGAAATATGTTTTTGTTTATGTCTATGATGGCGTCAATAATTACAGCATCAAAGAGACTAGAACCAGAACCCGAATTAGAATCAGAATCGTAGAAGACATACCTCGGGGTCTCCCGCATCTTTCTTCAGAGTCCCCTTCCCGATTTTCAGGCACGCCACATGCTTTTTAACCTTGATTAAGTTGACGTTCTAATGATGCTGCTAATGGTGGCAATGATGCTCCTAGTGATGATGCTACTGAGTGGATATGGTGGATGCTGATGATGATGCTGCCCCAGTGGCTGCCGCAACATCATTAACAACATTATCAACAACAACAAGAAGAAGAGACGACGGTGGTGAAGGAACGAAAAGTTCTCGAGTATTTTTTTGTTTTAATTGCCGCCTGGCACTTAGCTAATGTAATTTATATTACATCTTGCTGCCGCTCTAAAAGCTCCAAGTAGCTGAAAAGAACAACAGCGGCAGCCACGAAGTGCAGCATCTTGGCCCGAATAGCTCCAGAGGAGGTGGAGCTGGAGGTGGAGGTGGAGGCAGGTTGTAAAAAGAAGAGTGGGCCCCAAGACGTAAAGTTTTGTTTATATTTACCTAACATTGTACTTGAAAGATATTTTCGTTTCTTTTTCTTGTGACTCACCTCATTCCCCTCCCCTCTCTGCCACTCTTTGTTTGTTTATCTAATGGCTAAAAAATATTTAAGCTGTAAAATTTGTAGCTGTGAGATGGCTAAAAGCAGCTACTCTCCGCCCTTAGAAAAGTCATAAATACTTTCGGGGAATAAGTAGAATGAAAGGAAAAAGGTTCTTTTCGGATACATCCCGACCAGATAGAGTCTGTGGGATAAAAAATTGCCATACTTTCAATTTATGTAAAACGAGAAGTCTCACCTTGCCTCCCCCTCGTCATCTGGCCGGCTTACCTGTTATCTTAAATGTTTTTTCCTGTTGGTAATTAAAAAGTTTTCTGTTTCGTAGCCACCTGGCTGTCCCACCCACCTCTCCGGCCTTGCTCTGGTTGGCTAATGCAGGTTTCGGCCTTGGGATTTTTCGGTGGGGATTTGTTGGCCCGATAACAGCAGCAGCCCGGAGCCAGGCCAGGCCCGCACCAGAGCAGCAGCAGTGGCAATGAGTGGGGTTTACTTTAAGATTACGCTCCGAGGTAATTCCCAACTGAGATAATGAAGGTCATCTCAAGATTGGAAACAGAATATGTTACACTTTTTTTTTGGCAAGTGCTTCTAAAAGCTTCTAGTGATTTTTCTGTGGAAACTCCTTCCTATTTTTGTGTTTAGAAATTCTTCGAACTGAGTATCTGAGACTTATACCAGCTCACGTATATAGCCCATTCCCACCTGGCCAGCTACATTCTTCAAAAAGTGTCAACAAGAAAAGCCTACAACCAGAGACATTCAGAGCCGTAGCCAGGAAGCCTCACCTCGTTCATTCATAAAGATTCACATCTCCATATAGCGGGGGAAAACAAACACGAGTCCAGGCAGCACCTAACAAGTTCCCGGAATTGCACACAAACCTCAGAAGTTCTTAAAGTTCTTTTTGCTCTAACGAAACCTGTTCCCCAGACAGAAGCCCCCAACCTGGAGAGCCCTGGAGAAGAACAGAGACCCCAGAGTCTGGGTCGGCCCGAGACATAATTAATGGATTCAAAAATTTCACAACGAAAACTCATATCAATCGGGGGCTTGAAAAAAGAATGTCATGCTGCTGTCATCTGGAATTAAGGGTCTTAAAGTTAGTCACTCGGTTAACTTTAATCAATGCCAATAAGATAAGAGATTATAGTATTTCAGAGGAACAAGGTGGATATTTTAATAAGGTTTTAATTATGGTTTTAATTATGGTTCTATTTTATTTTAGTTAGTCTTATCAGTGGATTTAGTACTATTTTTTCATAATTCCAAAAAACATTAACCATATTTTTTTAATATTTTTAATATACTTATTTTTATTTATTTTTCTTAGAATTCTTAGAATTAAATATTAAGTATTCCGTCCTTATAGTATTCTTTAGAAACACATTAATATTCTTTATTTTATATATTTTTTAATATTTTTAGTCAAGAAACTTCCATATAAATAATTATTCTAATTATAACTATTTTACTAGAAAACTAGCTACATAACATTCCAATAATATCCAATTTATTAACAAAATTTGATATATTTCCTATCCTAGATATGCATATCTATGTATCTTCTTTAAAGAGCTAACCTTATCAGCTAACTCACCGCTTTCCAATTGGCGATTTGTGGCTGGTTTGCTGGCACGCACTCTTCTCAAACTAAAATGGTGAGTTAAACACTGGACAGAACTGTGCTGGCGCACTTTGGATGGCTATCTTTGGGATTACTATTAGGCGAATAGTTGTTTCATTGATGAAGCGGCGGCACGGGCATTTCATTAATTTCTCACACACGTACGGACGCGGCCGGCGATGATGATTTGCGATGCGACAGATCCGCGCGTCTAGAAGGGGGGGGGGTGGAGAAACTAGTTTCCGCGAACCGAACCACCGGCAGAAAGCAGCTGGCCGAGGGGTGGTGTGCCGGGTTGGGGGGTTGTGGATAGACGACTGTTTGCACGCGCGGCTATATTCGCTGGTGTTTTTTTTGTTTTGCTCTACGGTAGGCCTTCTAACGTAGCCGCTTCAGCATGTCCACACACGTTCGCGAACCAAACTCAACTACCCAACAGCCAACCCAAAAGATACGTTCCACAGCCACGAACCAAGAGATACGTTTCAGTGGACGATGCGTTCTATAGCAACGAACTGCGAGATACTTTCCACAGGCACGAACCGAAAGATACGTTCCAAGCACACGAAGTCTGAAGTTCGGAAAACAAAAATGCTTGCGAATAACTGAGATACTTTTCGCTCTCTTTGGGAGAGAGTTGGCCAAGAGCGAGGTAAATGGATTTATCTGGGCGCCGGCTGAGTCCACTCAAATTGGATTCTCATTGAGCCAGTTGGTGTGGTTTGAAACTTGGTTAAGGTAAGGAAAAGAATCTTGTGTTTATTGTTTTAAAAAAAAATAAAATATATTAAGGAATATTTTTAGTAAAAATTATATTCTTTTTAAACATGCATATTATTAAATTATTAAAAAACAAAAAAATATTTCGATTTTAATATCTGATTTCATTGAAAAACAATGATATCTTTCAACACCTTTATAGGAAATCTACAGAGAACATCAATGTTCATTAATTACAAAACCCCACCAGAGCTCACATTGAATTAGCCGCCCACAGCTAATTAGCCGTCTCCAAATGCACTTCCATTGTCCGATAAGAACCTGACACAAGGAGCTCTGCCCACATGGCCGTCTTATCAGATCCGATGCCAAGTGAAATAAATAAATAAGAAACGAAAGACAAACGTAAATCTGATTTTTTCTCTTTTTTGTATTTTGGGGAGCGGTCTCATATCAATACCACTTGAAAAAAAATAAAAAAAAAAACAATAACAAAAACAGAGTCCTAAAAAATAATGCAAATGCAGCAGTCAAAGATAAACAGAGAGGAAAACTAAACAGAGAGTAGCGAGAGAGTTTGAGTGCCGGCAATGTTATTAAGGTTTTTCCTCATTTTCCGCCCAAAACGACCTCTCACTTTATCTGGGCACTCTCTTGGCCACTCTCTCCACTCGCCTAGTTCGGCTAACTGCAGCCAGATGGCGCCTCTGTGAATTAGAAATGGGAAAATGCATTCGGATTCATTTTGTTTACCCTCCGAATAAAGGGGGGGGCCGAGGGGTGTGGCAATGCGGTTGCATTCTTGGAAATGTTTGCAAAAACCGTCGCCGGTTTGCTGCTGCCACAAATGCCGCGTAATCACTTTTTGCGCCCCAGCGACGTCGACGTCACCGGAAGTTGCAACACGTCGCCGTCTACGCACACATATGTCTGCCGTTGTACCGTTAATGCAGCCAGCCACACCCCAGCGATTGCAAATGCCACCCACTTTTCAGTCCTTGAAGTTTGCCAAAAAGAAAGGTGATGTGGAGTGAGAGTGGGGGGTGGTAGGTAGGTGGTGTTGCAAGAAAGTTGAAAACCTTCGGTGGAGTTGAGTTATCGCTCGCTTTCCATTGTCCAACGTGGCTCCTGATGCCCCAACCACCCCAAAGGCTTGCAATCTTTTTGTGAACATGTGCGAACAACTGCAGTTGAACCACCAACCACCCCAAAGATGCACTGAGAAAAATATTTGAAAATATAACTGAACAAGAAAGAGCAATTAGAAAAAGCCAAAGATGTTAATATTGTTTCTAATTCCTTTTTTTTATTAAAAAACGTAGTACTGCCTCTTCTCTCAATAAAAATGTCCTTTTTATTCAAAAAGGATACTCTTTTGCAGTGTCCCCCCTCACCCTTGTAACCCCCGGGCGGCGATTAATCATGAAAATTCACACAGAAAATATCCATTAGATGCGAATTAAGACATAATTGAGAGTGCAAGCCTCGTACACGTATCAAGGACCTGCACCACACAAGGCGGCGACCGGAAGGGGGTTGGGCGGCGATTTGCACGGGGGTTGCTTTTCCCTTCGAGTGGCAGCAATGCAGCAGGAGAGGCATATATGCGAGAGCCTGCCTCAAGTGTCTGCGACATATTTATTATCCATGTTCTGGCACAAAAAATGATTATGCCTCGAATATGGCATGCCCCCAGGGCTCAAGCATTAAACTGCCATTGTTGGGCGAGCGGATTGGAAAGGATTCAAGAGCCGATATGCGTTGGCTTTAATTACAGTTTGAGTGGCACTGGAGTGCTTATGATATGTTGGCTTCTTCTCGAAAACTCCTTCGAGCCACAAGGGATGATGCATTTTTCTAATCACATGGGTAAACATTTCTAAAGAAATTGAAAGCTTTTAGGGAAGAATTCTTTTGTGTTTCTAGGAATTTCATACAGTTGACAGAACTCCTTATGGAGCTGTCAAGTATTTGCCGAATTATTCAGAATTTTTTATTATGGAAATTAAAAATTTTGAAACCTCTTTTATGGAATTTTTTATATGGAATAAATATAAGATTTTCATACAATTTTTAATGAATATTTTAACTATTTCGCAAGCGATCCTAAAACAAAGTACAATTTATAAATCGGGACACTTTTGCGCGTTAATCTGCATCAAAAGAGTTTAAAAATTTAACAACAAAAATTTTGGCTAATTTTTGACTAAAATTGTGATGTTACCCTTTGAAAAATTGCAAAAAATGGATTAAAAATTTTGTTGCCAGGTTTTGATTTTAAATGATTCTACTCGAAGTTTTAAGATCGGGAAGGTATAACATTTTATTATCTGACAAGTATTAGCCGAATTATGCACATTTTCCATCAGGAAAATTATAAAATAGCAGAAAAATTATGGCTTTTTTTTATTGGGCCAAAATTGAAAATTTTGATAACACCTTTTTATGAATATTTTATCTAATTTAAAGCCTAGTGAAAAAAGGTTTACCTTGTATTAATCAATAAACTATTTTTCTTCAATCAACATCAAAAGATTCAAAAAATGAAACAAACAAAATTTGCCCTGATTTTTGGTTAAAATAATGATGTTACACCTTTTAAAAATTGCAAAAAATGGGTCAAAATAAGTGTCTTAGGTGTCTCTAGGTTTTGATTGAAAAAGATTCTACTCCAAATTCTAAAACCGGGAAGGTATAACATTTCCAAATCTGTTAAGTATCAGTAAAGTTTTGCAAATTTTTTCATTCCAAAAAGTACAAAAATGGGACAAAAAGCATAACAATATTGATGTTCTTTGGCAAATGTGAAAAATAATCTTGTTGGGTGTTGGCTGAAGCCGGGCAAGTTGCCCACCTGTTGGAGTACCTTTTTCAGCTGCATATTTCCCTCCCACGCTGCCACCAAAAAAAAGGCACAAGTTCCAATGCTATCATGCGACAGCTACAAGAATTTGGAAAATGCCAAAAAAAAAACAAAGGAAACTCACAAAAAAAAAATGAAACAAATATGAAAATGTGGAAAAACAAACACAATTCTATGTGGAGGGCAAGAAGGCAAAGCCCAACAAGTGAGCCAGCAAGTGTTATATGACAGGTCCCCGACATCCAACTGTGATTTTGGATTTTTTCCAGAGTCAGTCTTTTTGTTTGGCCACAAAAAGCTTTGCCTGTTTGTTGCTTGTAATTTGGAATGTAAGTTTTGTATGTTAATTTGATTTCGGTGTCAAATTGGATTTTTTTCGGTCTTTTGTGTTATGGGTTATTTTCATTTTTTTTACGGCCTGACTGCACTTGGGACCTTACTGCGCATTTATAACGTCAAGAGTGGAGTCCCATTGTGGTTGTTGGGCCACTGCCACTGCCACAGCCGGCTGTATGCTATATATGCTATATTGTGGTAATTGCTATATAGCAATTTGATCCCCCCTCGATGTCAATCTGGTTGGGGTCTCGCTTTTGATTGGGCACACTTATGTCTTTATTGACATCGCCGCAACATAACATAAATTATTTATTGCAGCCAGACATTGAGCAATTTGTAAATGGCCAAAAGAAATCTCGGTATGCACACGGCAACCTCAAAGATACAAAATCCGTATCCGTGCATACCTTGTTGTGTGTTTGCTCGTTACTGATTTGCATTTATCAAGTGCATTTCAGGTAAATGAAATCAAACGATCCGAGGGGGAGAAAAAACTAAATAGTAGAGCAAAGCTCAAAGCTCGGTCGAGGACCCTTCGTTTAATTGATGCACTTCAACGAGAGCGCATTTAATTGAGTAAGGATTCAAGGACCAGCATATGTGCGATTGTTTGTGTCTGCTTGAGTATTCGATGAGGATTCCTTTATTCATTCCGCAAATAAATGGATTTAATCGATGTAAATATTTGCCTTTAAAATATGCACAGCAAATGCTCTGACCTAGCCGGGTCCAAAGGTTATGTTTGTTGAATTGAATATGCAACTCTATTGTTGGGGGTGGTAACAGGTAACAAATTCAGGAAACTAATTGGATGCTGAAACTCATTCAAAGTCAGCCAGATGTATCAGCTTACACGTGCCCTTGAGTTGGCCAAACCTTTTCCCAAAAAAACCAATCCCGGAATCTATTCCCACCGATCTTTCACCTCGTTCACCTAGTTTCGCATTTGGCATAATCAATTATTTCCAATGGACAGGCAAAAAACAAAGTCATTTATTATGTTGGCCAAAAAAATTTGTCACTATTCTGCACTGGTTTTGTTTGCAGCCCGGCCCGGCCCGGCTTGGCTGTGTTGCTTATCAGTCCAGAACCGAGTTTGGGCCATAATTAATTTGGCCAACCAACAAAGGCAGCAACAACATCCAGCAACAGAGCTATACATATATATTATGTATAAACGCTGCTCCAAACAATGGCCAACAAATTGATTAATGACAGCGTATTAAACAATAATCGAGATAGGCCTACGGTCAGATCAGCGAGAAGGAGCTTCCCCCTTATCTGATGGTGTAACCCATCCAGTAACTCTGGGCGCCCACGCAGAAACAACTTTTTTTTTCAATTTTTCGCAAAACGAAACGAGATTGGAGGGAAAAAAAGTGTTTTTATCAACGTTTGGCGTGGCTGCTAAAAACAATTCATTTAAATAATATCTGAACCACTTTGTCGGCCAACAACCAGCGACAACGAGAACAGGAGAAAACAAATCATTTTTCATATCCTTCGGCTT